AATCAATGTCTATGCATTAATCTTTATGAGCTTGTCCTTGTAAGGTTAATGCATTTTCTGCTTGTGTATGTGAATTTACATATGTTGCTTTTTGCAGTGTTTCAGACTCCTGCACAATTAGCAGTAAAATAATTTCCCTGCTCCACAGTAGCTATAAATCTGAAGTAAATTGAATGAATAGCGTCAGTGTGATTCAAAACTTTGAACCGGTCAACTGACATATGAATGCTACCAAGCACAGAGGCCTGTTGCTATGTGGACTTAAACTAAATTAGCTAAGTATTTTTCCTCTGGCAGTCTTTCTGCAGCACACCACCACTGAAAATTTTACCACTATATTGGAAATCGTAGGACTAAATTCAACAGATGTCCCCGGTAAGTCTATTAAAGGTAAACTATGTTTCCACATTATGGTAAACATTTGGTATTGGTCCTGAAATTGATGTATTTTTTTTACTCTGTTCTGTTTTGGCTTCTGTTTTTCAGATGCCACAGTCTATGTGGTTTTTCCTGCACGCTCTGTGCTGCTACTGCTACTGTTGTGTGCCCTGGTTATAGTTCATAAGTACAAATATTACAAATTGAAAGGTATTTTTTAATCATAACATACCCACAGCATTCACAACAGACCAATGCACTGAAATTTTCACGCAAAAAAGGCATAAAACTTTCTTATGACGTGTGTATTCAGAAGCTGAAGTCCCCATAAGCAGACATCCACCCAAGGCAGCAGAGGAAGAGGAACTGAGTGCAGCAGATGTACAAAAGATAAAGTCCATCGTCTGTCATAAACCCTATTACAAATGCCCTCCACTATTCTTTGCTTAACAGTGTTTTCTTTCTTCTTTTTTCTTTTCCCTCACTAACCAACTAGTCCCATCAGATGACCACTCATGTCTGAGCTTGCCTCATCAGTGCTGGAGCCAACCCAGCCAACACTGGGCAAGAGGTAGTATCTGGTTAGACACCATGTTTCTATTATTTTCAGGCCTTAGAGTACAATGAACTCGGTTTTATCTGAATTTAGAAGCAGGAAATAAGAGGTCATCCAGGCCTGTATGCCATTAAGAAATCCCTGCAATTTAACTAATAGATGTGTATCATACAGCTTCAAGGACAGATAAGCTGGGTATCAAATATATTTGTGCATTAAAAGCATCCAAACAAGGGATACAAATGTATTGCACAGAAAACAATTTGCATTATACTTGAAATTAGTGCTGTCAGCGTTAATCTCATTGAAATGATGGTTAACACCATAACAGCATTAACACGGTAAATCTATGTTAGCCCCTCGCACACGGATCGCCGCGTGCGAGGGGCTGCACGGCGCTAACGTGTTAACGAGCTAACTGCTCTAACACGTTAACACCCTGCAGCCCTTGCACGGGGCGATCCGCTGTTTGCTCTTTGTTGGTTCTTCTTTAAATTTCTGGAAATCATGAATTTTTGGTGTGCACGAAAAGGCAGACCTTAAAACAGCATTGTGCCTTTTAGCACAGTGAGGAAGAGATGGGTCAAACTGGAAAAAATCACAACAACAGAAGATACCGTTGAAATAAAATTTTCTAATAAGAAAAACAGTTAAACAGTGCCAGTACTAGATTATTCTGTTTGACAGTAGCAGCACAATTTAATATACAATTACTGAAATCGTTTGTAATCCCCACTAGTTTTATTGTTGTGAATGTTCATCTCCTATTTTTTCTGATACGTTTGTCTTCATTTGTATTATTTGATATAACTTAAATGACGTGCCCTACATGTGACATTTTCACATACCTGTGACACTTTAAAAAACCCAAATTGTAAATTATCTGCAAAAGTCAATAATTTCATCTGTATCTGTGCTATTCTTGCTGTCCTGGGACTGTTTCATTAGGCCAATAGCTTTTGGATGAGGAGTATATCCAAATACTGCCTTCACCAGAATTTCATCCTGATATGTCTCATATTGTACGTGCCGGGGACATGCTGAGTCCGCGTTTTCATCAAAGGCAGATGCAGCCAGAAGCTACTGCACAACTGCAGGTGGCTCTCATCCAGGAGACAAGGCAACAACAGATCCAGATACATGTGCAGTCCATGAGCAGATAAATTACACCTCCACAGGAGGCAATACGTCATATTATACACCTTGTGTTTACATATATATTAGTGAATGTCTGTACTGTTATAACAGGTCAACTGTTGGATGAAAATCGAAAGATTTTAGAGCTGGGCTAAGTCTTCAATGTTTCAAAATCCTAACAACGCCGCTGTTGCACAGCCACGAATTTATATGTAAACTATGCGTACAAAGCAACTCATCAGTGTATTGTTGGATGTGCTATCATGGTTTGGGGCCTTATTTCAACAGTGGTGTTGGAGATTTTGTCAAAATTGCCACTGAAAGTTTTTTGTTTGTTTGTTTGTTGTGTATTTAGATTTAGAATTTCTAAAGATGTGCTGCATATAACCTGCCTAAAACTTTGGAGTTGTTGTTTTAAAATAAAGTGCCAAAAGTCTCCCTCTACCAAGAAAATGATTTAATTATCATTTGCCCCCTTTTTTTTCCAAAAATATTTGGAACTACTATGTACCACGAGGGATAAAGTTCCCTCTTTTGCATTTTATTGTTTCTCCAAATTAACCATCATGTTTTAACTAGAGATGGCACAATACCACTTTTTTATGTCCGATACCGATACCGATATCATAAATTTGGATATCTGCCGATACCGATATGAATCCGATAGTGTGTGTTTTTTAATCAATAAAACCGTTTTTTTATATATTGCTGCATTTTGTATAAGTTCATACTCAAGTTTAAATAAACAACAACATTAAAGCTATTCTGTTATACCTGTATGTAAAAAATACACTGCACCCAAAATATTTCATAGTTCAGCAAAACTGATGAATATAATAAACTTAAACCTACTTGTAATGAACCGCTGATCTGTACCATAAGTCATCCTTGCGGGGGTTGTCGGAACTGTATGCGCAGTCACACTAAGGACAGATGTGCTCAGAGGCATGCCCCGTAACGTGTATGGAGCAGTCTGTCGTGGCAGGAATAAGTTGTACAAAGTCCATGTAAGTTACGATAATACTTTGATAAGTATGATAAGTGTGTTTCTAATTTAAGGTATGTTGCTGCGTTTGTATTGTGAGCTATCTGAAAACCTTTTTATTCTGTTCTTACGTTTCTTACATCCATGTGCTATTTTTTAGCTAGACATGTGTGTCATGCAAGCTAGCAGCACCCCATGAGAAACGGGCCGAAGTGTTTAAGTGTTTACCAGAGTTTTGCACCCTTGGCAAGCAGACTGAGGTATGTGATGAGAGGTGATCTGTTGTTATATTTTATTTAACCGAACTGTGTAACCCCTTGATGCTGTTTGAAGTAACCCCTTTTGTTTTATTTAATCTGTGACTGTATATCTCAGAATTACTTGTTTGAACTTGCCTGAATTAACTTAAGCTCATTGTTGTTATTGCTCATTGTTATAGTTCAAAAAGTACTGTACGGGTATCAATTTTTTCTTATTTTATAGTTTTCACGGTGCTCAATGAGAGGAAATAAATGGCTGCACCCGTTAGAGACTCTTCTGTCGTTCTTGATGCCAAGGGCTGCTACACTACTCAATCCTTCCTATTCTGGTATTTTAAAGAGTAAGCAACCTAACTAATAGGGTTCTAAAACTCCCAGCAAAAAAAGAATAGGGAACCACCCCCCACCCTCCACGTCATGATGCTTAATTGACGTAATCAACTTTAATTTGATGCAGTGTGGGGGGAAAAAATGCACAGAAATAAATTATTTTTCAAGAAATAATTAAATAGATTCAACATCTTTCTTCTACAGAATTGCAGACTGCACACATGGTATCTTCCCAAAGGAAAAAGTAGTATAGCTTACTAGGGTATATTAGACTTAACAGTTACTATATACAGTAATGGACTTCTATACATTTTACATCAGATTAAAACTTTGGGCGTAAGATTCAGATAATTATTTATTAAAAGCTAGACATTTTAAATGAGAATAAGAAAGAAAAGTATGTCTTTGTGCCCCCTTTTCCCTGTGAATGCCCTATCGGCCCCCCTGGCTAAACTTTGCTAAATCCGCCCCTGCACAGTTACCAGCTGTCAGCTACATAGAAAAGGATCCGGGTCTAGAAAGTAATATTAAATCAATTCTAACAACAGCTTATCAAGGTTAAACATGCTGCTGTTGTTCAGCTGCTGGTTTCCTCTTTCTGACCGAAGTGGGCGATAAACAAACAAGAGAGACGGACTCACGACAGAAAAGCCGATCAGCTGATCATTAAGCAGTTTCATGATTGAAGTAGCAGCAAGAGAGCGAGGGAGAGAGAAGAGGCAGTCACTCCATATATTGGTTGTTAAGCTTAACGTGGGAATGTTTTACTAACATTCAGAGATGAACTTACACACTTGCTTTACTTCTCTCTGGGATAGCTTTCTCAGAGATGAAACGCTGGATTGGTAGGGAGGCTACAAATACACACAGCCGCTCATTCACGTGAGCACACTGCTCCGAGGTGCTATGGTTATGAGCCGAGTTATGCAGTGTTGCAAGTTTTGTGAGGTGCTTTTTTGATATTTAATGGACCGGATTTCATTTTTTTATTTCTCTCCGATATCCGATCCAGTAATTTATGTCAGTATCGGACCGATACCGATACCTAATATCGGATCAGTCCGTCTCTAGTTTTAGCGTAATAATTTCACAAATAATCATCATCTTGAGAACAGGAAGAGCCAAGGATGCTCTTCGTGGACCACAGCTCAAGCTCAACACCATAACCCCAGACATCCTCGACACCAAACTGGACCACCTGCTCCTGGATCAAAGGCTTCCTCACCACCGTCCTGAATCAGAAAGTCCCCCCACATACCACCCCTTCCCACTCACCACCGCCGCAATGGTCTGAATAATCCTCATCACTCAGGCCACTCATATGACTCTATACTCAGATCAAATCCTTTGCACTACTTCCAAGCACTCCTCTTGATTGCATATATTTCACCAGTTTGTTATTTATTCCTGTTGTCTTACTATTTATACCTGGAGCACCCATAATTTTGTTGTAAATGTACAATGACAATAAAAGGTTATTATATTATATTATATTATATTATATTTAGCAACTAAACAACAAATTCTGTATACTATACTACAGAGATTTAAATGGTTCTCTTCTGGTATACTCTGAATTGGTCCCAGAGTTTTATTATTATTTATCGTATTATTATATACTTGGGTTTGTTGTTTGACTGATATTAGCATTTGATGATTAGCCGTGTCATCTGAGCCAACATGTGTAACTAGGCAACATCAAACAAACAAACCTACAGCTTGGTCCGGACTGTTAATGTTAGTGCTGCTACTTTTTATTTGGGACCAAATCTGCTTTAATCAGTCCAAATAAATCGCGTCTTTTTTCTTGCAGGCCATTTGAATTGTTAAAAAAAAAAATGTGCTCGGATGTTGTAGTATCACGACCTCACTATGACAGCAGAGCTGTAGCTCAGGGGGTCCCGGAGAAAGATCACCTTGTAGCGGCCCCACAGCCGTCCTCGGGCTTAGCCACAGCAGGGTACCGCTCGGCTAAATACACCCCGACTGAATGGTTCTCCAACTACCAAAACTTACTTCAACAAGCCGGTACCGACTGCCACGAAGCTACGAGCCTTCAGCGAGAGTCCAGAACTTTGTACCAAGACACCGATGCATCCACTTTTAAGACACAGGCCGAGGGAACACGTCGTCTGGGAGAGAGACTACAAGAGATCCACTACTGGAAGTCTGAGCTGCAGCGGCACATCGAGCAGCTGCTGGCCGACACGGAGTCACTTGTGGCGCTGAAAACGCGGCTGGAGAAGGCGCTGGATGCCACCGAGATTCCCTATGCTATAGCCATAGACAATCTGAACTGCAGGGCGAGAAGGCTGGGAGCTGACCTGGTCAGAGACACTGTGGAGGAAGAGTTGTTCAAGGTGATAGACAATATTTCATGATCCAAAATAATATCGCCTAAGTGTGGGCTTGCAAAAATCTGAACGTATAATTATAATTATAAGTGAAATTTGTATTTGGATACATTTTCTCAAAAATGTATTTAATCTGATATTTGACCAATTACTGTTAATGGGATATTTTAGACACATTGATATTTTATTTTGGAATAACGCTTTTCAAATTAAAGGGAAAGAATCGCACCTAAGTTAATGGCAAATGTGAACTAGTGTGATCTGATCAACTGGCAGTGGCAGATTTCACCTCATCAAACTAAGAATGTCTGCTTTTTCTTGTCTTCAGTGATATTTAAACATATTTGAACTGATCTTAGCTCTTACTGTAATATTTTCAGAGTAAAACGTTTAATAATGAGATCCAGCAGATGGCAGTAACACATTAACCAGTAAGATGACTCCGTCTTTTGCAGGAAGTGGACTTGATCAGGAGTGTCCAGGCTCTTCTGAAGAGAACTACAGCTCAGGTTGTCAGTCAAATCAAGTAAGTTTGAAACTCTGTTTACTCGGAGTAAAACTGCATAACACGTAGAATTTCATAACATGAAATATTTATATAACTATAAACAGAAAATTTTATTTCATGTGTGTCTATGCATCAGGTTGAACAGAGAAGCCAAGCACACTTTAGAGATGGACTGGTCTGATAAGTACCAGGCCTACCATTTTGATGACCACAGCGGAAGACACAGTAACATGAGTTCAGATACGCAGCACCATCCCAGCTCAGCTGCCATGCAAGAACAGTGAGTTTGAGCAGCTGGAGATATTACATAAACCTAAAAAAACAAGAAACAGTCCTGATAACTTTTTTCACTTGCTGCAGGGTGTCCAGCCACCCATCATGGACGAAGTTTACACAAGACAACCTGTTCAAGGCCGTGCAGGAGGAACAGGCTACCAACAGTCTCAGGTTAGAGCACATACTAGTTCATATACTGCAGCAGAATCTGAAACTGGTCCTGGTTCATTATTTATTATTTGCTTTAAACAAATGGAATCCTTGTGTGTTAGATTGCTGGTAGAGCAGGTGCTGCAGGACACGGCTGAGGATCTGAGAGTCCAGTGCTCCAGTGTTGACCGAGCCTTCAGCGAACGCTGTGTGGAGCTGAATGAGGCCAAGACACAGCTCAATATGCAGCTCAAACAGGTGGATAAACTGAATGACAGAGTAAATGACTGGTTATTAGTTGATGATTGATTGTATTATCTCATGTGTAGATCTTGGAGCAAATTGGTGCCCAGGAGAAAAACATTGTGGCTCTGCAGCAGGCCATTCACAACAAAGAAGCTCCACTGCGAGTAGCTCAGTCCAGACTTTACCTTCGCTCCCTCAGACCCAACATGGAGCTGTGCAGGGATGAACCCCAACTCAGGTATGCATGCACAAAACAATAAACTGCTTTGTCTTTCTCGCTGCTCTGATTTTTTGCTTCTGTCTGTAGTTTGGAAGGGGAGGTGAAGCAGATTGATGCCACTCTGGCATCTCTACAGCAGAAGCTGAGCAAAGCCAGAGAGTCCCTGTCTCGTCTGGAGGAGTCACGCATGGCGTTGGAGAAAGACATCAACTGCAAAACCCACTCACTGTTCATCGACAGGGAAAAGTGCATGACTCACCGTAAACGATACCCGACCACTTCA